TCTTTCCCATGATTGTGATTCCTACTGAACCAGACTGAGAGACCATTTAAAGGCTCAGGAACCCTTTGCAGGTGTTAGCTGATTAGAGTGGGACACTTTGAGCCTAGAATATTGAACCTTTTCACAATATTCTAATTTTCTGAGATTGTGGATTTGGGGTTTTCATGAGCTGTAAGCCATAATCATCTCACTTATGACAAATCACGGCTTGAACTATCTTGCTTTGCATGTAATGAGTCTATCTCATATATTAGGTTCACCATTTAAGTTGCATTACTGAAATAAATGAACTTTTGCACGATATTCTAATTTTTCGAGTTTCACCTGTATAGTGGAATGCCGGAGGTTTGAAAGCAGCAGCAGTTTGTGCGCTCTGCTCATAGAATGCATCACCGGTCTACCCGTCCCAGTTGACCGTATTGCTTCTAATAGTCTCGCATCCGTCTATATACTTGTAAGCTCGGGGAACACTATCTCTCTTATTGTCGCTCTCTTTGCCCGCTTTGGACATATCTGGGTACACTTTGCTATAGGATGGTCCCCCAGTGCCTCCTGTCCTGTGGCCACCCCCGCTTGTTGTGAGTGTGGCACCCCGCCTCCCATCATTGACTCCTGTACGAATCGTGCTGGGGATTTCTCCCCTTTACCGGTCGTATTTCTTTTCTGTTGCATGAGACAGCGGTTCTGGTCTTGCATAGGCTGCACCAGTTGCACTCGTTGTGAGTTGTTATGCTGTTGTTCCCACTTCCTTAGTGCCTGATAAGCAGGCAGTAACTCTATGTGGCGATTAATTGAATGTTCATCCGACAGCCAAGCCTCCTTCAGTAACCGGCCACCCTTAGTGGAGGCGGTCCTGCAACAGCTCGAAGCCGAAGTGATGTCCGTGCATCGCCCCAAATTTTGGGTAAGATACGTGTTCCTTCCTCCCCCTCTTTTTCGATCGTTTCCCTCACCTGCCCACGGCTATCTGCTGTAATCTCAATGGTATTTAGTCATTACTATGGTCTCCTCCAATAGAAGAGTGGAGGCAGGAACAGGCACGCCAGAGCCTTCCTGGACAAACATTCAGACCCGTTTGACGGACCATCTCGGAAACACTCACGCATGCGCAGGAGCAGCGGAATGAAAAAGCAAGAGGACTGTCAACGCTGCAAATACTGTATATTCTTCGTCTCTGTAACCTTAATAAATGCTTTTAGGAAAAATTATGCCTGAAAGTCCTTTTAATTGTTTCGTTAATCAGACACATGGCAAGGACTTTATTGGATACACATTCTGCCAACAGCCCTCCAGGGAAAGAAAGGTTGTGCTTTGGGGTAGAAACGAGGAGAGGGAATGAGCGAAAGCGTGTAACACAATGGGGTGGTTGGAAACACACGAACGAATCAACAGTTGGGGAAAAGGAGGAGGGGGGAGTAGCGACCCTAAAAATCATTGAGATTACAGCAGATAGCCATGGGCAGGTGAGGGAAACGATCAAAAAAGAGGGGGAGGAAGGAACAACGAATCTGGATGATGGGATGCATATGAAGAAAACGATGGGCAAAAGGAAGGAGGGGGGGGAACAGCAGCCCTAGAAATTGGTGGTGCAATGACGGACAGCGGGGGGTGCACAAGGGAGGGGATTGGAGAAAAGAAAGTGGATAAGGGAATTGCGGCTTTAAAAACCACCAAGGGAACAGCGAGTACGTGCCTTTCAAGAATGAAACAATTAGAGACATCAGATGGGCCGATGACTAGGTCCAAGAGCCGTGCGCAAAACCGGCCGGTGTTATAAAAGGAAACTCCCATTGACTTGTTTTTATGCTCTGATGATGGCAATGCTGGCCAACGAAAGCTCAGCATTTTTATTAAACAAATCCTAGTTTGATATTGTCCTGGTGTTCGTATTTATTTGTTTTTACTATACACACACACACACACACACACACACACATGTATGTATGTATGTATAATTTATAAATCTACAAAGCTTTTGTTTAATGATTCAGTGAATTCAGGGGTAATGGGAGATCACTTTCTTTTCATTTTAAGCACTAAGTTGTTATTGGGGGAGCGGAGATGGTACTGACATACTAGTACAGGGCTTTTCAACCAGTAGTATACGTACCACCAGTGGTACTTTAGCATCTGGCAGGTGATAGGCGACCCCGAGCCAAGTGTAGCAGGGGAGGGAACGAGCTAAAATGGCGTGTGAGCGAGCGAGCTAGCGAGAAGCTTTTGTGAGCTGAGTGAGTGAGAGAGCGAGAGGCTTTTGTGAGCAGAGTGAGTGAGAGAAAGCGAGAGGTTTTTGCGACCAGTGTGAGTAAGCAAGAGGCTTTTGCGACCAGAGTGAGTGAGAGAGCAAGAGGCTTTTGTAAGCAAAGTGAGTGAGTGAAAGAGAGAGCAAGGGGCTTTTGTGAGCAGAGTGAGTGAGTGAGAGCGAGTGAGGCTTTTGTGAGCAAAGTGAGAGCGAGTGAGAGGCTTTGCGAGCAAAGTGTGTGTGAGAGAGAGAGAGGCTTTTGTGAGCAGAGTGAGTGAGAGCGAGGCTTTTGCGAGCAGAATGAGTGAAAAAGCAAGAGAGGCTTTTGCAAGCAAAGTGTGTGTGAGAGAGAGGGGGGCTTTTGCGAGCAGATTTAGTGAGTGAGAGCAAGTGAGAGGCTTTTGTGAGCAAAGTGTAAGTAAGAGAGGGAGCGAGAGGCTTTGGTGAGCAAAGTGTGAGTGGTTGAGTGAGAGAGCGAGCCAGAGGCTTTTACGAGCAGAGTGAGTGTGAGAGAGAGTGAGCCAGAGGTTTTTGCTAGCAACGGGTGAGAGAGAGGGGGGGCTTTTGTGAGTGAAGGGTGAGAGAAAAAGGGAAAAGTGAGGGGGAAAAGGGAAAAAGAAAAGAAAAGGCATTGACTTATGATTCTTCTGTTGCAGTAGAAGGAAGCATTAACATTGAACCTCAACTTTTTATTTTTCCATAATATTATAAACTAGCCATTTCTATAACAACAAATGAATCTAACCAGTAAAGCCCAAAATCCCCCCCCTTTTTTTTTAGTCATCAAGTTTTTGACACCTTGCTAAACACTGGTGGTACTCGAATATTGTCATGTCCTACAAGTGGTACAATCTGTGAAAAAGTTGAAAAGTTACTATGGTATAAATTATTCCTGAGGTGAGAGATTTGATCCCCTTGCTTCCCAGATTTTGGTTCTACTTGCTTTAACATTTGGCACTCTTTTTGATGAATTTGTGGTTACTTGAATTGTTATAAATAACCAACATTTACCTTATCTCCTCTTTAGGCACCCAAATCAGATTTGTCAAATGTGCAGCCTTGAGCTATGGATATAGAAGACTAAAATTTTATCAGCTTCCTGCTGATGGTTCAGAAGCGAGCAGAGAACTGTTATTGGTACTTTCTTGGTTCCTTTGCAGAATAGCTCTAATGGAAAAGTTATTGATACTAAATAGATTTAAACCTTGGGATGAAGCAACAGTATGCATGGTGAGTTTAAGGGGTTCAAGAATAATTTTCATCAGCAGCCAAATAATGAGATAGAGAATGGGTCAGTTGATTTTGTTTAATGAGAGTGGCAATAGAGGCAGGTTATTTTTAATGTATTCCAACCAGATGTACATGTTCCCGGCATGTTTTGTGGAAATTGTTTAAGAGACATATGGCTTAAAAAAATGAATGTATACCATTTTACCTAGAGCTAAAGTAGAAAAGTTGTCCCGGGTTTACGTTAATTTAAAATATTTAGCTTCCTTGCTGAAAGACACCTAAAGTGCAGACATCCCCTTTTGGGGGGCCTTTTGGTTCTTCAAGTCTGTTGTTGATTACCTCTATGTAGAAATAGTCCAGACACTGTGAGGATATAGTGTAGAATTTTTTTTGCTTGTTTTGTTATTTTTTTTACACTTTGATAAAATATAGCATTTTTTGTAGGAATATCTTGATTTCAGCAAACCATTTAACAATGTATCTCATTACATTCTGATTAACAACTTAAGTATTAATTTTCTACGCATCTTGACTTAATTGCCATGCCATCCACATAGATGAACATGTTTGACATGTTTCAAAAATTGTACTCAAAAGAGTGGTAATCAATGGTTTCATATCATATGAGGGGGGAGACACTGAGTGCATTGTCACAAGATACAATTTTTGCTCTCTATAAAGATTATTATGTTTACAAATTTTAAAGAGAATTTTTATGCATTTTCAGAAAATACAAGGTTGGGTGGCTAACTGTACAAGACAAATTAAATTCAAACAGATTTAGATACAGTAGAGAAATCTGCTGAAAGTAGCAGAATGAAATTTAGTGTGGACAAATACAATTGTTATATAGGAAACAAAAAACAAACCCACTTATATAAAATGGGCAATATTGATTTGGTAACAATACTGTGGAAATATTTATAGTTGTCTGCAAACTTAGTATAAATCCACAGTATAATCATGGCTGCAAAAATGAATGGTTGTATCTCCATTAAGATAGGGAGTTTGCCTGTTTTATTCAGGGTTGATAGTTTTTTCTATTTTCAACATTACCTTTTTGCTTTCCTGCTTCCCCAGAAAAAATGGATATTCCTTATTTTCAAAATAAGTGCAATCAGTGAATAATTGTTTTCAGTAGACAAACATACTTTTTATTAACGGAATTGTGCATATTTATACTATATTTAATAAAATAATAAAGTGATTTTCTACTTACAAAATTTTCCACATTCCTGTCCCTCTCCCTCCCCCAAAAAGAAGCCTTAAATATTAGATCTCAGTTGGTGATATTATTTCTGCATAATTAAAGTATTTTTATTTTTTGAGCTGGCTAAGCAATAAGGTTTTATCTTGGGATTTAACAGCTATGAAATATATATAAAATATTGAGTGAGACCAAAACCAGACACCTTTGTATCATAGGACTACTCAGTTTTGATTTCACAAACTGAACTTCGGAGTTGAGCTATAGTAGCATATTTACTATGATTTGATATCCAGGATTAGTGGCCACTTACACGTAATTACTTATTACTAGTTTATCCATGCAAACATAATATTTGTCCTGATTTCTTATAAGACTAATATATATCTTAGTTAACTTTGCAAAATGATGTCATTGTTTGAAATTCACACCTTGTTCCATAAATTAATCCTGTAAGTGTGCTACTTATTTACCAATAGATGGCAATTCAACACAACAGAATGTTTTTGTAACGATACTTCTTCCACTGCATATTGGTTTTATATTAAAAGTATTGTAAACATTTGCCCAATATGGAAGCTATTTTGAACCCTAAAGAAAAATGAATGTTTGTTATCTTTATATACTCCAAAAGAATGTTATAATGCCATATTTCAGCAGAACCTCCTTCCATGGTTTTACTTGTTTAAATAGCCTCAATAATTCAGACTTATTTATTTAAAATAAACTCAGATTTACATATGAGTTGTCAGCTTCTGTACTAGCTTCTTATACATTTATGTATATCCATGTCCCCAAGCATCACACCTCTATTGTCACTGCAATGATTTCATATATGTATCAAATAAATACAAAATAAATGAAAAGGTATATATTAAAATACCCCAATGCGCCATCTTACATCCTTCTTACTCCTGCTAATATGAAACATTTGCTAACCTTTTCATTGATTCTCATGTATGGTTTAGATCTATTGTACACTGCTGTTACTACATTCAGCACTAATTGTGGATTCCATCCCAACCATCCTATGATTTAAGACTATTCACTTTAACATACTTTCTTTGAATCAAAAAGTATACCATAAACTTGCTTTCTCACATTCATGCATTTTTTACAGATCTCTTTTAAGAGCAAAAATCTGGTCTGCATAGTGCCTACATAATACTAAGGCTGCCAGGTATAAAGCCTAGAAGGAGACAAGAGGGACTTAGAAGGAAGCATCAGCAATGTTTGGACTCACTACCCAATTTCCTCTTTCAACGAGGATTAGGGGATTTTTTCCCACCATACAACATTTCCCACCATACAACTGTTTGGAGAATTAACCTGCTGATGGACACAGTCCCAAATCACTTTACATAATTTCTTTCCAATATTCCACTGCATTGGATATAATAAAAAATTGGCACTGTTGATAAAGGGATGGCAGATGATGATCAAATTGGCACATTTTCAAAGACTAGAATATTTGAATATGTCAGGAGCAGATAAGCCTGGTGTCCTTCAGCCATTTTGGACAATGAATCTCTTGACTTCCAGTGACATTCCATATATTAATCCTTTTTGCGTGTATCTTTCATAAAATATTCAGGATTATATTAAATAGTCTGATGAAGCCAATTGTTTTTCACTTCTGGGAAGCTTCATTTATTTTAATATACTTGATATTTCTTGAATTTGACATTTTGAATTTTTTTTTTTGAGAAACTAATGCCTTTTTTATGAAAACATCTGTACATTGCTCCTTGAATGTGATATCACAGAGCAGAAAAGTGAAAATTTCTTTTTATGAGAACTTCCTTCAAGTTATGATACAGAGATAAGATACAATCAAGAAAGCGAATAACTCTTCTGAAAAGAGAGCACTATATGTATTACTATTGCTAGAGGTATACATTTCCTTAGATCAGGGGTCTTCAAACTTGGCCCTTTTATGACTTGTGGACTTCAACTCCCAGAATTCCTCAGCCAGCGTGTCTGGCTGAGGAATTCTGGGAGTTGAAGTCCACAAGTCATAAAAGAGCCAAGTTTGAAGACCCCTGCTTTAGACTCTTGAGTAATGAGACATTTCTCTCTCAATAGCATCTTTAGAAATTCTGCTAAAATTTCTAGGCAACAATGAATACTAAACAACAGAAATACTCTCTAAGCTCACATAATAAACCCTTAGAGACTGAAAAACAGAGCAAAAATCATTTTCAGAGATTTTATTATTATTTTCCATCTTAGTGCAATCCTTTTCTAAAATATCTGCAAGATGGAAAAAGCCTTGTTTCAAACCCTGACGTAAAAGGCCAAAAAGATGTTCAATACCTTCAGTGGTTGAATGGCCACCTGAAACTCCAGTGGCGGAGTTACCACTCTGACCAGGAAGAACAATGCAAGCTCCTGCACAAGGTAAGTAGGACTTCGGTTGCAGTAGTTTATATTTTGTGGCATTATCCTGCTCTGGTAATCAATTTTCAAAAGAGTTTTTAAAACAAAATAGATTTTAAGATTGTGTCTATTTTTTGTAGCCAATGTTTGTAGCAAGAAGAATGGATATATTTTCTTTTACATAGTGGTGATATATTTTTATTTTCTAGTTCCAAGATTATGAGGTACTAAAGCTGAATTGAAAGTTCATAAGCCTGAAACCACTGTAGATTCATATTCAGTTTATTCTGATATAACAGTTAATCGTGGTTTGACATGAGTCCTCCAATACATGCCATAGTTCCAGATTTTAATTTATAGTTTAGCCATTGAGCAGAACTGGGAGTTAGTTTGCAGCCAAGCCATAATTGAAATTTGGACTCCTGCTGCAAGAGGCCATAGTAGATTTATTTATAGATCTTCAAGGTAATACAAATTATATATTTTAAGGATCGGTAGAGCTCCAAATTAATCCCAATTGATTTTCAGCAAGAATACAAAATAGAGCAAAATGGTGGACAAAATGTCTATTGGTATCACTTCATCTTCTGAGACAGAAAATCGTTATTAGTGTAAGGACCCGCTTCAAAACCTCTTCCCAAGAAAGCAGAAAAGAGAAGACTGAACCAGCAAAAGTCCCCCCCCCACCAAAGAGATGGGTTCTGATATGCCACCCCCTTAAAAGAAAGAGAGATCCACCTGTAAAAGACAAAAAACAAAGATAAACAGTGGGATTAGTCTGGTTTCTCGGGTACATAACATGGAACTTACTTAGTAGCTTAGGTGCCCTAATGTGTTTATGGACCCATTCGTTCTGGGAAGGAGGCAGATGTTTCCAAGCAACTAAATATTGTGTGGAACCATAATGTTTCCTGGATTCTAAAATGTCTTTGATTTCAAAATGCTGCTCTCCTACCATGATTGGAGGAGGAGGAGGAGGGGCTGCAGCTGGCCTTAAGGGCGAATTCAGTTCATGGTTTAAGAGGCTACAGTAATATACAGGGTGAACCCGTCTGAGTGTCTTAGGGAGTTCTAATTCAACTGTAACCAGATTGATTATCCTTTTAATGAGGAAAGGTCCCACAAATTTTGGTCTCAGTTTTTTAGAGGGTTGCAGGGATTTCAGGTACTTAGTAGAAATATATACTCCCCCCCCCCCCTTGGAATGGCTTGAGCTCAGTTTGTTTTTTATCTGCCTGGAATTTATATACTTCCCTAACCTCATCTAAAGCTTTTCTCGCAACTGGCCAGGTGTTTTGGAGTTGTGTGATCCACTCTTTCAGGGAGGGGATGGTCGGCTCGGTAGAGGGTAGTTCAGGCATCAGATTGAAACTTTGTCCCGTCGCCACTTGGAATGGAATGTAGCCTGTGCTGGAATGCACTGCGTTGTTATAGGCAACTTCTGCGAATGGAAGTAGGTCAGTCCAATTGTCTTGTTGTAATTTATAAAACATCTTAAGTACTACTCCAGTACTGAGTTCGAACATTCAGTCCCACCATTTGTTTGTGAATGATGACTAGATGACAGTTCCTGGGTGGTCCCCAAAAGTTCTAGAAATGCCTTCCAAAACTCCAAGGTAAATTGCACCCCCCTATCAGATATAATCCGTTGTGGGGCTCCATGTAGTTGATAAATGTGCTGTACGAATAACTTTGCTAAGGTTTTGGCTGTTGGGATTTTCTGGCATGGGATAATGTAGTTGTTTAGAGAACAAATCCATTATGACCTAAATTACCATATTTCCCCCACTTTCCAGTAATTCCACAATAAAGTCCATAGAAATCTCCCTCCAAAATGCTCAGCAGATTTGGAGTCATGGCAAAGCTGCATGAAAGTCAGTCTCTGGCTTTTTGGAATGTAGAGCTTTCCTCCCACCCATGGCAGTCCATCATTCATTGTGCATAAGTTCTTGTGGCTTAAAAACCATTCATCTTTTTCTAGGGCTTTCCAGAATTCCACTCCAGCTTGGCTTACTAGAGTCTCTGGGGTCTTAGCATGCGCTCAAGTGGTAACTGACGCTGCTAACTGCTTTGATGGCACGAGTGGATCTGTTATCTCTGTCTTGGTGCTGTTGTATTGTGGTAATCATGACAGTGTGTCTGCCAGGAAAAATTTTTCCCCGGTAAATGTTTTATGGTGAAATTAAACCGATGGAAATGTTGAAACCATCTCGCTTGCTTGGGAGACAGTTTTCTGGGCATTTTCAGGGCTTTTAGGTTTTTGTGGTCAGTCCATACCTGGAATGGGATTTTATTCTCTTCCAAGAAATGGAAGGTCAGAAGAGCCAACCGGACGGCATAAACTTCCTTTTCCCAAACCGCCCACCTTTGTTCCGTCTCTGTTAGTTTTCTCAATGTGTATGCACAAGGTTGTAACTTCCCCTCATTATTTTCCTGAAGCAGCACTGCTCCCACTGCTACATCACTAGCATCAGCTTGAATTATGAAAGGTTTCTCAGTATCTGGGTGTTTTAAGACTGGTTCCACTGAGAATAACCTTTTTAATTTCTCAAAAGGTTTGGCCCTCTACAGTCCATTTCAAAGATTGGCTGGGTTTCTGTTTCCCCTCCCCTTTAGTCTTTAGCAGATTTGTGATGGGCAATGCAATTTGCGCAAAAGAGGGGATGAATTGGTGGTAAAAGTTTGCAAACCCAAGGAAGCTTTGCAGTTGTCTCCTGTTGCGGGACGGAGCCAGCATGGATTTTTCTGGGGTCCATCTATGCTGTTCGATGAGATGCGATATCCAAGGTAATCGATTCTGTCCTTATGGAATTCACACTTAGATAATTTGGCATACCAATTTTACATGTTCCTCCTTTGTTTCAGTGATTATCAGGATATCGTCCAGGTAGACAAGCACCCCCTTATAAAGATGTTCCTGGAGCACCTCATTTATCAATTGCATAAATATTGTGGGTGCTCCCTGAAGCCCGAACAGCAGGACCCTAAATTGGAAACAACCTAAGGGGCAGTTGAAAGCTGTTTTCCACTCGTCACCTTCTTTAATTCTGACTCTATAATACGTCTTCCTCAAGTTCAACTTTGAAAAAAATCTTCCCTTTAGACAAATGTGCTAGCATGTCCTTCATCAGAGGGAGGGGGTAGAGGTTACTCTCACTCACTGCGTTGAGAGATCTATAATCCACACAGAGACAAAGAGACTCATCCTTTTCACGAAATAGCACCAGGGCTGCTATTTTTGGCTTTGCCGGTTGGATAAAACCCCTTGCCAAGGTTTTCTCTATAAATTTTTGTAACTCGTCTAATTCCCGTGGGGTCATGGAGTATAAATTTTGGTTTAGGTAACTTTGCCCCCGGGAGTATTTCAATAGCACAGTCCGTGGGTCGGTGAGGGGGTAATTCATCTGACCTCTTCGCTGAATACTTCAGCTAGGTCCCGATATTCCTCTGGTATGCCTTCCAACTCCCCCTAGCTCACTGCAGGGGTTTTACCCCCCCCCCCTTGGTCTGGGCTGCTCCCTTGGTGTTGATTTTCCCCTTCGGGAACCTCAGCTCTCCAATTCTCCAGCCTACCCTCAGGTTCCATTTCAATAGCCACACCATGCCTAATATGAGTGGGCATTCCATTCCAGGGGTCATCACAAACGTTAGAGTCTCTACGTGATTCTCTATGGTAAGATGGATGGCTTGCGTGGTGAGAGTGGCCGGGATCCCCCCTGCAATGGAACCATTTAATTGGCCAAACAAAATCAGCTTCTTCAGCCTCCTAAGTTCCCCACCAGGGTCTCGCTGAGACAGAGCGATCTCTCCATCTCCAATTTCTAGCCTGGTTGGTGACTGCCATGTTTGAGGGTTACCTTCCTCGCTTTCCGCTCCCAGTCCTCCTTTTTCCCGACGCCCATCGACCACCTCGGCTTATCTCGGTGCTTAACAACCACAACTTCATTGGAGGAGCTGGAGGAATGTAAGCTGCATCCACTCGGGCCAGCCTGGAGGGAAAATCCCCCCCCCTCGATGGTGGCTTCCTCTTTCTCCGTACCTAATTCAGACATGGTTTGTGCGGTCACTGCGGTAAGGGTCTTTCTTCCGGGCTGACTGATTTCTGCAGATCCTGCCTAATGTAAGAACCCGTTTTAAAACCTCTTCCCAAGAAAGCAGAACTCTTGGAACGGTTTCATCCCAAAAGGAACTTTTCTTAGGAGAAGTTGACAACAGGTATAGAAGGCAGGGTCTGAGGGTTTCCTGCTCAAATCAATAAGTTAAAAGAGCAAAAAGCAAAGCCCACCCCAATAGTTCATCCAGTCAGTTCAAACGGGCCAGTCCCCAGGTGTTAAGTCCGCTGTGGGAACAGGGCTGATAAGACTCCGTTCCCAAGGCTGTGAAAACGTTGTTGGGTCTTCTCACCTTCTCTTCCACAGTGAGCGATAAGCCAGATGGCCGGAGGCACATTCTTTTCTCACCCCAGCTTGACATCAAGGGGGAATCAGTTCAAAGAGCAAGCAGGTAGAGGAAGCGGAGAGGATACATTGTAGCACCTAAGCGAAAGGAAAAAGATACAAAACAATTCCTTAAGCTTCTCCCCTCCCCCCAGGAGTATGGCAAAACCCTCAGAAGGGAAAAGAAAAGACTGAACCAGCAAAAGTTCCCACCACCACCACCAAAGAGATGGGTACTGACAGTAAGCAATTAAACCTTCCAAGCAAAGATATATGGACAAAACATGAAAAGCATCTTTTTGGTTTGTGTGGTAAACTTTTTCCCACTGATGCTCTTACTACTTTTTTACTCAGAATTAGAATACATTGTTTTTGAATTTTTATCTACAGGCAGCATAATATCTGGCTGGCCTACTGAAGTATGCTAATTTTATTTCCTGCACTGTATCTCTATGAAACCCTAATTCTATAATAATAATAATAATAATAATAATAATAATAATAATAATAATAATAATAATAATAATAATAATAATAATAATAATAATAATAATAATAATAATAAAGTTGGAAGTAACCTTGGAGGTCATCTAGTCCAACCCCCTGCTCAGGCAGGAAATCCCTATCCTAACCCCCAACAGGCAGCAACCATTTTCCTGCCTGCTATCCTGCTTCAGAGCCATCTGGAACTTCCTGCCAACTTCACTGATTTGGTTGTGGGAAGCCTGCAGGAAGTTGGTTTCTTTATGAAGATTTTCCAGCAAAAATGCCATTTGCATATACTGGGTTCATACGATCATGCGGTTTGTTTAATGACTGCAGTGAGTCACTTAACAATCATCATAAAACACATAAAATCTAGTCCAATCATGTGATGCCATGACTCATGACTGGAATTTGAGTTCCAGTTGTGGTTGTTAATTCGAGGACTACCTATAATGTAATACCTAAAACTACACATTTAAGTACCGTATTTTCCGGCATATAAGACGACTTTCTAAACCCTGAAAATCTTCTCAAAAGTCGGGGGTCGTCTTATACGCCCAGTCATCTTATACGCCGGAAAATACAGTATACCATTTCAGACAAATGGCTGTCCAGTCTCTTTTTAAAAATCTCCAGTGATGAAGCACCCACAACTTCTGAAGGCAAGCCTTTTCACTGGTTAATTGTTCTCACTGTTAGGAAGTTCACCGAATAGTTGTTTTTTTAATTGAGGGAGGACTAGAATCTGACTCTTTCTGCTTTTAGTCACCCTTAGTGATTAACATACCCCATTTCAATCCAGTTATCTACAACCCAGAACAGGCTGTAAAATCAGACCGCCCGGCCATCCTCTCTATGATTTTGGCTTTGCAGAGGGGCTAAACTCAAAACTCTATTACTATTTTCACTGGTCGGCTGGGGGGGAGGCAGGGGAGAGAGAGAGAGAGAGTAAGACGCCGGAAGTGACATTTCACGGTATCGCCGAGCGGAAATGGATCGCGGAGGCTGTCGGAAGCGGTGCTCGGGAAGGCTTTTGTCCGTCCGGGAATTAGAGTAACGGGAGGAGGTCGTAGAGGTAGCACGACCAAGGGAGGGATCGCCGCCACCACCGCCAGCATGGCCATGTCCGAGACTCAGCTGAAGAAAATGCTTGCTAAGGTAAACCGCCAGCCTGCTCCTGAACCGTCTTTCTCAAAGCAGCCTTGAGTCGGCTCAGCCCAGTCACCCCCTTTGAAGGCCCGGTTTCTCTGCAGTAGAGCAAAAGCAAAAGCGTCCTCCCTTTGGAGACGGGAGATCCTTCCCAGGCGTTAGCCTTTCACTTTTTTCTCACTAACTGATAGTGCTTGCCGCTTCCTTGTCAGAGTCCAGCTTTTGCACCAACAAATAAAAAGTGACTAAACTTTGGGTGCCTTACCTATTCCAACAGTCAGCTCTAAATTCAACACAAATAGCCACTGGCCTTTCTCTGCAACCCTTTGCTTGGTTTATCTTTTCCAAGTTTTCAGTTAGTCTCCCCTTGTTTTGTTTCCCTTTTTTTTCCAGAACTTATTTTCGATTATTTCTTGGAAATTTGCTGCATAGTAGGGCTTAACTTAAATACAAGAAAGTAAAAATAAACTTTTTAAAGAACTTTTCATGCATTTGAAAGGTGAATTTGGTGTAAGAAGTGGTGCTTTTAGGCTTCTCTAACACTTAAATACCTTTTTTTTAATATCTGAGGGTTTCCCTCTGTTTTGATTTTCTGCCTTTTATGTGCACTCCCTATCACCTGGATTTGGTAGCATATAAAAATCCTTATATGCCACTTTGATATAGGTTGAGAAGACCAAATGAT